CCTTAAAGCACAGAGAAACTTTCCACTTTCAGCAGATGAATGTGAAAACATCCTTCTAGTGTCAAACTCTGCATATACATCATTCACACATCACACTGTAGCAACAAGAAGAAACACTGATTTCTGACTGGAGGGCGACTGTAAGGCATCAACCATGAGCCACAAAGCTTCTGGTCTGTGTCCAGTCTGAGACCTTTGTTGCATGCCGTTCTACCTCTCTCTCTTCCTTAGTGCTTGTAATCTCTCTGCTGTCTTGGGTCAAAGTTAGTCTGTGGACTGAAGAACAAGTGGAAAGTTTTTAGTGATTATTAATATTATTATTAATTAATTGCAAGACATGCATGACATTTTGCCTACATACAATGCTGCATTCAAATGTTGATTTCAAATGGCCATCACTGTGTGGTCATGTGCCTGACTCGCTTGACATATTGCAGAGTTCAACCTTAATATTTCCAGGCAGGATGTGGGATTTTCTCCACATGGACCCACTTTAAAGTTATATATTTTTATAAAAATATAGAGTTTCCGTTATTCAAACTACCCTATAGGACTGTGTGGCCTCGCTGGAGGTATGTACTCTCTGACTGCTTTCAAGTTACATGCATACAGCATTAATGGAGTCACTGTTCCTCCAAAAAGTCAGGTACTCTTAGGTTAGTGCAATTAAAAGACATGAATCAGCATGTACCCAGGTAAGTATTTGGATTTCTTCCTCATGAACATACTCCCTCTGTGTGATTCACATCTCTCGTAGGAGAACATCTGTCAGCATATTTACAGTTACTGTTACACACACTAGCATGAGACCATGCACGGTCAGCTGTCCTTGTTCTGCTTCTTTTCAATGTTTTTTTTCTCCAGAAAAGGTTGTTGATAATTCTGTCAGCCTTACTTCTTAAAAGTCCATCATACATACTACTTAGCTGATTGTGTGGCTTCCCTGTGTTTTTGGAGGCCATGTTCACTATTTTCGTCAGTATAATCACCAGTTCTGCACTGGACCAGCTATGGTTTGCTGGGAGTTTTTTGTTATTGTTATAACAATATAAAACCTGTTGCTTTTGAAAGCCTTGTGTGCATTGGTTGTGATATTTCCTGCAGGCAGCTGTGTGTTGTATCTGGGGAGAAAGCCAAGGTGGAGAAGTACAGCAGTGTGGGTCTGGATGGAGCCATGGTGATCTGGGATTTTAAGGTGCCAAACTTTATCATCGAAATCATTCTTTTTATTGAGTTTAATTTTTGAAAAGAGAACAATAATATATACAGAATATTTGCATTATTGGTCCAGGACGCCACACACAGCATTCATCTCGTCACCAGAGCACAGAAGTGTTGAACAATGGTGTTGTATATTAACAAAATAATTCCTAGTCATCAAATTATCAAATTTGTGACTCGAGTCTGACTCAAATCCAAGTCTCTAGTAACTGCTGTCCAATGTCAACAGTGAAGCTAGCTGGGCCAAATGCAAATTTGAGTTCTGAGTTTAAAGTTAAAAAAAGAACTCAAATATATTTTTCACACGTGGCCCGAATCGTCTTCCATAGATTTTACACTCAAAGATGAAAACTGTGTTTTGACACCTTAAATATATCAATTTATTCATGTAGTTCTTATCATAATCATGATCAGTTCAACCATCATACAGGTGCTCACTGATTTATCTGATTTAATGACCTAAAATATCAACAGTGGGCTTGGAGGAAGTTTGGGTGAAAATGTTTTAAAGAGGCTGATGATATTCTGAATGGAGCACTGCTGAAATGTTCAGTATTGAATCCCAGTATCAGCCTGCAGCTGCAGCACAAACACATTGCTACATAATGTGCTGTTATCTGCGTGTATAGGAGCAGTTCTAACATGTTTGTGCTCCTATTGTGCAGCACTGAGACGCCACAGGTTGTCAGTCCTCGAGGTGTTAGAGGCTGAACCGACCAACACATCCTCCTATCAACCTACTCCTCTGTGGAATGTAACTGCCTGTAAACCCTTGTGCATATATATTGAAGCACTGAAGTGCTTTTTGAGTAACTGACAAACAATGTCAGTGCATGTGCTTTGTCAATAAAAAAATCTTTTAAATAAATAGAGGATGTTCACAGGCATTTATGTCATTTTTACTTACTTTTCTACAGTATATGTTTGATATGTTTCTGTTGGTTATTACTTTGTTTTTTGTGTCGATATATTTTGAATCATATTTTCAGATGTATTTTTCCTTGTGATGCAGAATCTAAAAGGAACAAGCTAAGCCTTGTGCCAAATCATGTCTTTAAAATAAAATTTCCAAAAAGATTTACCAGCACTTGAAAAGTTGAAGTCAAAACATATCAGGATTTCCTTGGGAACCAAAGTGGCCATGTCATATTCCACAGGCCATTGCGCATTGTGCAGCGCCCTCTGTTGATGAAGCATCCGGGTTACAATGGTTTACTCAAAACTGGTGGAAAGGTTTTGATGTTGGACTAGGGCGGTCACAGGAGCATTGTCAAAATCCATCCTGACCTTTGGAATATCTCAGTGCAACATTTTGGTGTCACAAGGCTTTAGGGATATAACTTCTGCTCACACTTAAGCCTATATGTCCTCTCGATTTGTGGATTGGAT